TAGGCCACAAGTGACACTACTCAAGTATCCTCGTCTGTGCTTCCCCACCCTCCTCCGACCTTAGTTCTCTTTGGTTCTTTCATATGTCATGTTTATATTCTTCACATACGGTGAATATTCACATATGGTTCAAGTTAAAGACCTGTACTGTGCTCCTTGGAAAAATGATTTGCGGGCAACACTGGCTTTGACTTGGAAGAAAAATGTTCAGAAGGTAACAACAACAACAACAACAAAAATCCCAGCAATCATTCTGGCTACAGTGTAATTCTTAGTTATAAAAGTCAAACATATGTATTCTGTAAATGAAACTTTCAATTGGCTCAGGAATAATTTCATTTTTGTAAATTATCATGCATAGCTATAAATAAAGATTTATGGACATTTATATTTTCACGATATATTGTCCCCCACTAGGAAACACAGTGATTTCCTTGGGGATTGGCTAACTGGGAGGCACAAAGCAATCATGTAGAAACACTATTAACAGAGCGCCTATTCCTTTTCAAAGGCATTAATTACCTGAGGGGCTTCAAACATATGCAACAGGCAACTGGCTGAATCCTTACCCACATGAGGAAGTGCACAGTAGAACATCCACTGATGAGAGGTACCCCCTTTCAGACCAACCAACTTGCCTGAGGCTAAGGGCCCACCCTCTTCTGCTAAGCTTCTCCTGGATTTTGAGATGCTGAAGGTATCTAGGCATGTTGTATTCCTTGCCTAACGATATTTTCCTTTTCCTACAAAGCAGTGAGAACCCAAGGTCAGATGTGAACATTTAGGGTGTTTATCATAGCAAAAGCATTGTCGGCACAGGGCAACTTGTGGGGAAGAGTTACTTTCCACATGGTACAGTGGGGTACACCCAAGGCTTTGCACCTGGACAGATAGGAGATTGGATCCTGTCCCCACACCACGTAAGTGCCTTCAGCAGCTGGTGTTTTTCTGAAAACCATTTCCTCTGCTGGACTATGAGATTAATGTTGTGAACCTCAAGATGTGGTAGTAAGGACTGAGGATAACAAACAGGCAAGGCTGCATTCTTCCCTTCCTGCCTTTCCTAACCACAGACAGCCACTGCACTCAACAGTGTGTTGTGTGGGCTGGTTTAGGCATGCCCAACACCTTAGTCAGAACTCCTCAGCTTTACTAGCTACAGCATGTTTAACTTGGGTCGCAACATCTTGTGCCTAGATACTGCTCTATCCTATTCCTCTTCTTCAGTGTTCAGCAGTCCCTTATCCAAGTTTTGGCTGGCTGGGGTGTACCTATGAAAGGACTTCCTGAGCGGCTATGAATATACTCACACCCATCTTCATCCTGGGTCACACCTATAATCTCTGTGCCCTTACCTACCATGGACTACTACTGTAGAGCTGGCCTTCTCAACTCACAGTACAATATTGAAAGTGCAGTTAGTGTCTAGGTCCTGCAACAAGGGACACATGGTCCAGGCAGTCAAGCTATGTGCTGTGTATAGCTATCTCATTCAACCCTCACTGTCGTAGTGTGCTTTCTATTGTTGTGATAAAATCAGTTCCGCCACAAGCAACTTGGGGAGCAAAGGGTTTATTTGGTATATATATTCTGATCACGGTCCATCATGAAGGTAAGACATGTAGGAACTTAAGGCAGGAACTGAAGCAGAGACCATGGAGGACACTGCTTAGCCAAGCCTCAGTCTCCCTCCATGACACTTCTATTCCTAGGTTTCCACTGCAACTGAAGTTATGCTTTCACCAATGGCCTCTTGTGGCTTCTTAAAGTACCAAGCCTCAGTTGCATCCCATGACCCCTTCATGCCTTCAAAAGCAGTACCACATGGGAGACTCTTACATATTACACAGTTGGGCTGCCAGCGTGGGTGAGGTACAGCCTTGGCCTCCTCTGCACCATAGCTTCTGTGTGCTAACTCTGAGGAAATAACTTCCAGAAGATGTCATTTCAATGATGCTGATCTCTTCTTATTGACAGTGAATTTCTGACCTCCTGCCAACCAGCATCTATTGCCCCAGTAAAGCAAAGGTTTCACTTAATTAGTTCTGGTCTCACATTAATTACAGTGGATTCCTCAGCCCCAGATGACAAGAACCACAGATTCTTAATTTTAAAAAATCACACAAATGGCCCCGCAATTCTTTGATCCTCTCTGAAACTTCCCAAGTTAGGTGTTCATTGCTCTCAGTATTCTCATCTCCCAAGCTCCCACAGGATAGAACATTAAGTTCTGAGTATTCGGTTGCTTTTCTAGCCCAAAGTTCCAAACACTTGCACAATTTTCCCTTATAACCCATCCATTTCTGGTACCAGTATCTGTTCTAGTTTTTTAATTCTGTTTTTCTATTGCCATGATAAACACCATGGTCATAAGCAACTTTGGGAAGAAAGGGTTTATTTGGCTTACAAATTCTGATCATGGTCCATCATACAGGGAAGTCAAGGCAGGAACTTGAGCCAGGAACCTGAAAGTAGGAAATGAAGCAAAGACCATAGAGGAACACTGCTTCCTGCTGTGCTCCTCATGGCTTGCCCAGTCTTCTTTCTTATACAACCCAGGGTCACCTGTCCAGGAGCAGTGCAGTGTATATTATCTGTGTCTTCCTACATCAGTCATTAATACGCCAAAAACTTGCCACAGGTCCATCTGATAGAGGTATTTCCACAACTAAGATTGCTCCTTCCCAGATATGTCTAGGTCTTCTTCAAGTGGTCAAAGACCAACAGAACTACTCCAATATAGGAATGAGGTAAGCACTATTAAAATATTCACTTACAAGGGTTAAGAAAAGTTTCCAAGTCACATAGTTTCTAAGAAAGAAAGAAATCCAGGATGAGGAGCCCAAGCAATCCTGTGATATGATGCTTTTCATGCCACTTTCAATCCCCTTCTCCTTCCTCATTTTCTGACTGAAGTATTCGTGATAGACTGTGACTCATTTTTTCTGTCCATATCTCAATAGACAGGGAATTCTCTGAGGGCAGAGACCATGTTCTATTTATCCTATACTCCTGTTTATAGCACAATACCTCAGACCCAGCAATCACTTCAAAGAATGACTGTAGACAGCATTGTGCTGCTCTTTTGTAGTCTTTTTTAAAAACATTTTTATTTATTTTAGAAGCACCCTTATGTAAATATCCATCCTCGATTTCCTCGCCCTCCCGTGTTCCCCACCGACCCCCCAACCTGCTCCCACCTACTCCCCAGGGTTAGTGAGGCCCTCCACGGGGGATCATCAAAGTCCTTCACATCATTTGGGGGAGGGCTCGGGCCCTCCTTCCCATATTTGGCCTGCAATAATATCCCTCCATAAAGAATGGGCTCCCAAAGTCCATTTGTGCTCTAGGGATAAAGACCACTGTTAGAAGTCACATAGACTGCCTTGGCCTCCTAGTTGGCACCCACATTCAGAGGGCTTGGTTAGGTCCAATGCTGGTTCTCCAGCTTTATGACTAGCTTCTCCATGCTCTCATTAGGTCAGGTCAACTATATCTGTGGGTTTCTCCAGCACAGTCTTCGCTCCTTTATTTATCCCTCCTCCCTCTCCACAACTGGATTCCAGGAGTATGGCTCAGTGTTTAGCTGTGGATGCCTGTTTCTGCTTTGATCAGCTACTGCGTGAAGGCTCTAGGAATGGTAACCAATGTAGTCATCAGTCTCATTATAGAGGAAGGGCATCAAAGGCAGCCTCTCCACCACCGCCTAGATTTTTAGTTGGGGTCATCCCTGTGGATCCCCTAACATTTCCCCTGTGCCAGACCTGTACTGGCTCCCTTTATCAAGGCATCTCCTCTGCTACTGTTGTCAATATGTCCTCTATCCAAACCCACCTGAGCCATGGCAACTCTATAATTGGCATTAGTTAAAACATGGGTATGTAATCACAGGTGATTTTTGTGGTTGAAGTTTTGGTGTCAAATATCCCTATGTTTGTAAACACTCAGTCCCCATATAGTGGTACTGTCTGAGGTGGGATCTGGCTGGAGAGTCTATGGGTGGGGGTGTCTTGATTTTTACAGCTGTCTTGGTTTTCTGGTCTGTGGTGATGTGTGTAAGTGACCCCTACATTCCAGGGCATGGCTTTCTTACCTTGATGGAGTGGAGTTTCAAACCATGAGCCCAAATCAATCATTCCCATTTTATGTTGTTTCTTGTCAAGTATCTGGCATGATAATGGGAAAATAACTAATACAGTGACTGTATGTGTATGCACACATGTGCATGTCTCTTTGTATGTGTTTGCAATAGTATCAAAACACCTAGTTTTCAAAAACCTATCTACTTCAAAAGCTACTTAACTACCATGTCTCTTTAATTTCCTTAATGTAGAAAATTTTCTTAGTCTTTGTCTTCATGATAGACAGTTTTAAATAATATAGCCCTTGGAAATGGAATGTGCATCATTTGAGGTTTATCTGGGATTTCCTAACCATTAAATTTGGACTATGCATTCCCAGCAAGAGTGATGTTGTTCCTTTGTCAGACTACCAAATCTGAATCACATGGTGCACATTTGGCTGCTTGAAATCAGCAGAGATGATGTGTGGTACTCTGTTTCTTTGTATACTTAGCATTCTTTTGTTTTTCTTTTTGCAAACAATCCTCTGTGAAGTACCATTTCTAAGAACATTTATACATCCTGTTACTCATCAAATTTTCCTCCAGGTTCTATAAATGACCCCTGTCTATCCCTATCTTTAATATGATGGCTGCAAAATGACCTGCAGTTAAATATGATATCTGACTCTAAAGTGTAGAAGGAACCAACATAATATAGTACACAAAATAAGCCTCAGGTTATTCCACTTAAGGCAGTGTAGATCTGGTTTAATAGCTGACATGGAAAGAATGAACAAGACTCCACAGGAGGGATGATTGTCCAAGGTCTGGTTTTGGATCCCATAATCCTTTACAGAGCTTCTGCTACCAGGGAAGCACCTTAGACACTGCCAAGTAAACAACTCCAGCATCGGGACACAGACATGAGCAACTCCAGTTATGCTTGTGCATGCCAAAATTTTTATTAGAAGATGAGACAGGTATGCCAACATAATACCTAAAGGGCATTGAATATAAGATGGAAATGCAGGGACGCCTAACAAATGGCACAGAGTCTTTCTGGATTGGCACCCACAAACGCTGTTCAGTTTCCATTCATGATTGCCGAATACTCCTTCTGGTGTTCCACCATCTTCAGAAATACTTGATACTTCTTGTCATAATATCTGTGGGGTACAAAATGGCACATATTAAACATTCTCAAAATGAATCTATCACATGGCTTCCCTTCTCATTTAGAAGGACAGGAATGTATCTGTTATGGTCAGGCTGAAACCTCCCAAGTTTTGAGTGGGCACAGTACCCTGAGCAGCCAGTTAGTATGCTCGTATCTAATAGGTGTGAGTGACATAAAGTTCCACTGGCTGCATGTTTGAGATGTAGGCGCTTTATTGACAAGGCATATCTACAGTGGTGTAGCTTAAAGAGTAGCAGAGCAGGGACACAGACATAGAAGGGACTGACTTATGAATCTCCAGTGCACACACTGAAAGGCTTAAGCTTAGTACACTCCTCATGATCCCAAGCTTAAGTTAATATATCTGGTATGAGTAGCCACAGGTGAAAACCACAGCCTGACCAGATACAAGACTGGGCATTTTAATCCCTCTTGCAATTTCCACATATCACTGTCTTTGGCAGACAGCCTTATCCAGGAGTAAAGCTCCTAGAAATGTGACCAATGTCTTCCTGTAAATACCCCTACCCTCAGGTGTCTGGTAGTGGTCTTGCTAATCTGCTGTCTCTACTTGATTCTTCGGGTGAGACCTGTTAGAACTACTGTTGGCTATGAATCAGACTTGAGCGGCTTAGCCATCTCCATCTTGAAAGGATAGCAACAGTATGGACACACTATACCTGAAGTCTCAGAACACTGTCCTTACTCTCCTTGTTAGGGGGGCTGACATGCAGTGGGTGAAACCACTTCAACATGATCTGGTAGACTCTGGGGTGCTCTGACAAAGACTTCATTTCAGGATGTTTACCATTGTAAACTGAGTTGGGGAGGTTGTAAGAGAAACCTCGGGTGTACACAGAAATGTGTACTTGTTAGACATTTCTACTTTAAGCATTCTGGTAATGTAGAAGCTGAGGCAGCACTAAACCCAAAGCTAAGAAGGGGATTTGAGGCCAGGGTTTGAATCCCAGCACAGCCTATGCCCACCTGTGTAAACTTGGATATGATACATAACCCGTTTGTGCAGAAACTTCCTCATCTTCACGTAGAGATATTTACGGGATATTCTGCAGAAATATTTTGAGGATTGAGCAATATATGAAAAGCATAAGAACAATGTCTTACAATAAATAATGTAAGTACTAGTTGATTCTTTGAAATAATTCATATTCTAATATTTTACCCAATCTAGGATTGTGAGATACTGTTAAACACCACTCTAGAGCATTGAACTGTCAGTTATAGAATGCATTTTAGAAACAATTTTCTGCTTCTAATGGTATTCTATGACAAATAAGGTTGTGCCACTCTTCTGTGAGATGAGATATATTCCTAACTTTGGAATCTCCAAACTTTTAGAGGCGAGCTTTGCTCTGCCGCCATTCCCACAAACTTGAAGGCTTTTAAGGGTAACAAACTTTACTGAAACTCCTTTCACTGGCTTCATTTATTCTCTGCAAGTTGTCCTCTTGAAATTGTCTTCATCCCTAAACATATACCCTAAGATTCATCCTTTTAAGGATGAATAATTTGGAGTGATCCTAAACATTTGCTTATCGAACTACGGTTATTTAATTAGACATTAAGTTCACATACAGCCTTCCAGTTGAGTTATCTTCTAAATTCTCCTCCTTTCGAGAAATCGCTCTTGTATGGCTCAGGACCAAGAAAACATCCCGTAAAGTTAAAGAGATTTGAAGTCAAGAGAGAAGAAGAAAAGGGCTCCGGCTTTCTGGTTGCAACTTTTATGCTGCCTGCAGATGGCGGTAGAGTACTGTGTGGTCGCTTCATCGAAAGCCTGCCAGCTGCCATCAACACGCCAGTCTTTTCAATTGAAACACATGGATTTTACCGAAAGAACTTAAAAACACTTCCCTGAAAAGTCTTGAGAGAGTCATGGAAGAGATGGAGAGGAACAATCTGTTTCCCATTACAAACAAACAAGGCCTATTCGAGGCGCCCCCAGGCGGACACTCCCTAGCTTCCCCAGTCACTGGGAGGGGTGTCCAGGTTCAAAGGTTGAGTGCCCCATATCAAGCCTGCTCCTTTGAGCTAGGCAGTCAGAGAGGGCTTTGCAGGGGCTTTAGCAGCCTGACTCTGTTTGGAAACAGAAGAAAATGAACCTGGATTGCTTTTTGGGTGGGCATTTTAAACTCTCCAATACGGATCTTTGTTCTTCCGTTCAATGACATGGTAAAGGTTCCCTTTAGGTCTTAACCTCAAGAGCTTTCCTACATTTCCTGTCCCTTCATCTTCAGACTCATTACAAGTGACTTGTTAGTGATCCTGATTGCTAATGTGGGCTGCTCCAAAAGCCTTAGAAGTATCCTCCTGACTTGGTTCTCTAGAACCGATCCTGTATGTGCAAACTTTCCAATCTCCTCTTGTGTAGGTCTCATCACTGCTTAAAATACTGTCCTAATCCCAGGAAGGTCTTCAGCACATGGCCTCTCTGCCTCACTTCCTCATCTCATCTTTGTGTTTTGGAATTATGAGTTGTAAAAAGCTGGTCCTTTGCATAAGATAGTTCCTCTACCAAGATTGTTCTTTTCTGCCTTGGCCTGTCTGGAAATTTAAAGAATTTCACTTGAAACTCAGTCTTCTCTCGATAGCTTTCCTTTGTCCCTATAGGGTCTCTGTTCTTTCTTCTTTGGGTTATATTGTCACCTGCTGGTTTTTCTATGGAAGGATTTGTTCATGTGATTTGAAATCATCTTTGGGAACAAATAGAGTAGTGTCTCATTGTTCTGTGCAGCCTGATCAGAGCTTAGCATATGCTTTGAGTATAAGAGGGACACAAATAAATAAATAAGTAAATAAGCATTTTGTTGACTTGTATTTAAACGTGGGACATTTTCTAGCTTTTAATGCCAAGTAATATAAAGGGTAGAAGAATGCCACCTGGTCCTTTGATGGGACATAAAAGATCCCCATATGTTAGAACAGAAAGAAAAAGATTTCTTCCTGTGATTCAGGGTGGAAACATTGGTGTGAGAGTTCAGAAGCTTGCATGTCTGGCCAGTCTAGCTCTGGATCTTGGTAAACCAGAGTTCTCTCCTTGGGAGGAATATCTTTCTACCTCTAAGTGAAAAGAGTGCAAGGGTTGATCTCAGGTCCCTCCCAGATCCAAGGTCCAGCTCAGATCAACTCTTGCTCCTCCTTTCATGCTCTCTTTCTCTAGCAGCTTTACACAGAAATGCAGACTTACTTTTTATCCTCACGTCTTGGAAACACAACTTTCCCCACTTTGCTCATTCTCGCCATTGCCTCCTGGTAAATGGAAACAACAAAGAATGTTGAATAAAAAAAAAACATAAATGAAATCATGAACTTTGCAGGTCATTGGATGGAACAGACAAATGTCCCATGTTGTCTATTGCTGGAGGCTCCTAGCTTCAAATCTCCAGTTGTGAGTACACAGTCTGTAATAACCACAGAAATCAGGAAAGCAAAACAGAAACAGGGTTGCCGGGATACAGGAGTTAGGGAGCATCAGAGAAATGGGAACGCCCCCCCCCACGAAGGGGGGGTTCTGTAGAGAGGGAGAAGGAGGTAAATACAGAAGAAGGGAAGAGGGGAATTGCAGAATACAAGTGATCTGATTAGGAAACAGGAAGAGGAGGTGCTTATTGGGGGAAGGGAGGTAAATACAAGAGGAAGAGAGACACGAGTAAAATAACAATAAAAGTGTCTGAAAGAAAAAAAAAAACACACAAGGAATCAGACCATTAAATATTTATCTAAAAATAAACTCTATAGTATGTGTATAAATATACATATATAGTTTTAAGGAACTTTTGCCATCTGGATTGATGGTGTTCCCCCCAGGAGCCGAAGACCACATAACAAAATACCCCAATACCAGACACAGAAGCCCTTATTTGAGTTGTTGGTTAGGTCTGTCCAAGGAACTCCCAAAGCAGCTTTTTGTTGTTACCCTTGGTTACCATTCAGAGGTGGAAGGTAAGTCCCTATTGCTGAACACACTGTGAGCTGGAATTGACCAGAAGGACCAGAAGGCACTAGGCAAGCTTCAAAGGAATAAGGTCATCTCTGGAAACATACAAACAAGTAACCTTATATGTACTCAACAGGTTATACATAGGAATATATATATATATATATATATATATATATATATATATATATGAATGATTTAACACTTTCCTCAATAATTGTATATTTTATCTTCTTAATTAATATAACTCAAATTCTGATATTGCAATAAAAATTATTGGAGAGAGTATATACCTTTTTCTTGTTGACAGTTATGTAAACAGGTTATATTTAGGAATATATATATATATATATATATATATATATATATATATATATATGCATGCAATAACAACTAATAAAAAAAGTGTCTGTGAATTTTAAGGGTAATGGGGAGGGGTAGTTGTGAGGGTTTAGAGGGAGGAAAGGAAAGGGAGAAATGTTATAATTCTATTATATGCTCAAAAAAAAAAAAAAAAAACCCACAACCAAACCAAACCCCCAAACTCAAAGACAGGTTTGTGACAAGCAAGAATATTGTAATTAGAATATACTTCCCTTAAGGTAGTCAGTTAAACCACGCTTTCTCGAAGCAACTTGTTTTTCTCTGACAATAATAATAAAAACCAATGAACAGTTAAGGCTACATCTGGTACCATGCATCCTGGGCTTTAATAAAGGACTATGCATTGAGGTCTCTAGGGCATACAACAGAGAAGGCAAAGCCCTTTGTGACTGCACAGAAACAAAGGGCTAGATATCCTTGGGCAATTTTTTGTTTTGTTTTGTTTTGTTTTGTTTTTTGAGACAGGGTTTCTCTGTGGCTTTGGAGGCTGTCCTGCAACTCACTCTTGTAGACCAGGCTGGTCTCTCTTCCTTCCAAGTGCTGGAAATAAAGGCATTCACCACCCCTGCCAGGTCCTTGGGCAGTTTTACAAGGCTTGTAATCCAAGGTAATGTCTGAGAACACAGAGCCAGGCTAGCCTTGATATCCAACAGCACGAAAAAGCTCTCCAGAACAGGCTTTGCTTTTAAGAACAGCTATTGAACTCTTATTAAGTCTGCAGTTACAGACATAACTTCTTATGTTACATATATATGAATTACTCACTGTGTATTAGACACTGCTAGGGATTACAAGTTATACGAGACATGCTATTTGTCCCCATGAAACTCATACTAACCACAGGGGTTGTGGAATGCAAAGTCTTCCTGCCTTACAGTGTAGGAGAGCCTTTTCATATCTTTAGTGCCTATCCAAGTGTCCCTCATCCATCTTGCCAACTTACTAAATGGCATATTCAGTGGCATACTGTTAATTACCTTTCCAGCATGCTCTAACCAAAAGGGAGGCTATACCAGATCAGGGGCTTTGCCTGTAACGTGCTGAATCCTAGCACCTAAAATAGTCATAAAGCATACGGAGCCACTTTGACATGCCAAGGAGAACACTCAACACAGGAGGGCAACAGAGAAGTAGATGATATGGACCTTTGCTCAAGGAGTTTGCTGCAGAGCAGAAAAGACATTTGCTAGGATCAAAAGACAGTAGGGTAAGTGCTCTGCTAGGCTCATTTCAATGACCATCAAAGGTTAGGAAACCAGACAGCTTTCTCTTTTTGCTGACTCACGGCTTCCACTCCAGCTAAGTGGCTCTTAGGATTCTTCCTCAAGGACAGCATGGCTGATCTGAACTAGCACTGTGGTCTTCTAGCCCTTGATGAGCAGGCATGTTGGTGAGATGAGATGTGCTATACTAAAGTGCGCTGATGGCAGAAAGAAATGGCAGCATTAACAAGAGCAAAGATCTTAAAATGGATGAAAAGTTATTGACCAGGAAGCTAGAGAGAAGAAAGAACCCAAGGGGCAGTCATTCTGTGAAGGACACACAAGCAAACACAGCTTCCTGATATGCTGCTCTGGTCTGGGATGTCTTAAGAGCTTGATTATGTCTGAGTTCTGACTTCTGAGATGCTTTTAGCAATCCCATCATCCACTTTGCTATTCATTCTGGTTTTGTTTTGCCTTTCTATCTATCCGCTGTGCCCCTGAGAAGACCCTGCCCCTGTTACCTCCCCCAAGCTGGGAAATGCTCCTAGAGTAAGCCCCTCCTGGTCTTGTTGGCCGTGCTTCTTCAGGGGCCTGAGACAACATTCCAGGGTTGCCTTCATGGGTGGGATCCAGGAAGCTTATCAAAGGTACTTATGTTCTTTTCTTTCCCACAGTAACAGATGTGCAGCAAATGGCAGACATCAGGGAATTCTCTGTTTGCTTCTTCACATTACCTCTGCTTGTTTTCAAAATAAGTTCCTAAGAAACAAGTATTCACAATGGAGATTTCAAGGACTTAAAAGGGGGTTATTTTGTTTCTGAGAAAGGGCCGACTTAAACCTTAAAACTTAGGGCAGGTACCCAGTCTACTGAGAATTTTGCTGACTTCTCCCTGCTGCCTGCATGCCTCTTGGACTGAGTGATTTGCTACATGGCATCTCATGCTTCCATCTATCCAGCATTTAGGACATGGTGCCATCTTTTTTTTTTTTTTTTTTTTTTTTTTTGCTAGCATATCAGTCTCCCAACTAGTCTGTGAGTTCCTTCAGGAAGAAAATGTTAAAATTATTTTCATTGCCAAACTCAGCATCTGGCATATCACATGCATGCAGGAATGCCGGCAGAGTGAGTGAACTAAAGGAAAATATGTGGGACAAAATGATAAAATAGAATTTTCTGCTAAGATCTAAGGTGACAGACATATGATACAGAGTGAGCCAGAAAGAACCCACCTTGAAGAGTGCGTACAAAGGGGGTCTCTATGCTTTCCCCTCACATGGAAGGTTAAACAGAGATGGAACTCTCAGAGAAGGCAGGTTTACTGTGATCAGGAATCCTTCCACAGTGAGTTATGAGGGAGGCCTCCCCCTCACAAGTCAAGCCAAGAGGGCTTCACTAGGTGCCTGGTACTGAGGCATGTAATGGAGTTTGAGTGACTTGTGTTGGGAATCGACAAGCAGACTGGTGTCAGATTCTGTGTAGAGAAGGGAGGAGAGGTCATGCCGTCAGACTCTCAAAGGCATGCTCGTTTCTTAAAGACTATAGGAGGCTCTGGTATGACAGGCTGCCATGGGTTCGTTTAGTTCCTGTCCAGTGTGGCCAGCTAAGGACACGGGAATGAACTGCCAAGACACAGACATGAGCACCCCCTACTGTAGGTGAAATGTTCAGAGACAGAGGATATCTAGACACATCTGCAACACATCTTATGGGTCTCCAGAAACATCTATAGCAGTGCCTTATGGTTCTCCGGAGACATCTGTAGCAGTGCCTTGTGGGTCTTCAGAAACATCTACAGTGGTGCCTTTTGGGTCTCCAGAGACATCTGTAGCAGTGCCTTGTGGGTCTCCAGGAACATCCACAGTATTGTCTAGTGAGATCAAGAACTAGCCACCCACACCTAAGGAGCATGATGCTTACACATGACCGTGCTCTCTGTGCCCTCCAATCACCTCACAAGAACAGGAGAAATGATGGAAAATAAATGATCGAGGAGGAATAAAGAACCCTGTTATGCATGGCACACCCCAGCTGCAAGAAGTGGGAAATAGCTCACTTTTACTGTTATATATTCCTTGATACGAGTTCCTGAATTTTGGCTGGGTACCCCAACCTAAAGTTTCATATAACTTGTATCACCCTGTCACTGTGTGCTTAGGTAACTGTCATAATTCATAACCAGGCCAGGAACATTAGCTCCCCTCCACAATGATAAGGGGCAGTGAGGGTGAAAACGAAAGCTGGTTTTCCATCTGTCTCAAGAATTTTGTGAACTGAAGGGCTGCCATGGAATGCACCTGTAGTCCCCATTGCTTGGGGTGGGGAGATAAGCAGTGCAGATTGCTCATTCCCAGGAATTTGAGGCTAACCCAACATAGGGAGAACCTGTCTCAGAAAAAAATGGAAGGGTGGAAGGGAGGGAGAGAGGGAGGGAGGGAGGTTGGGAGGAAGGGCGGGAGGGAGGGAGGGAGGGAGAGAGGGAGGGAGATGAATAGTGTGAAGTGTTCTCTGTAGGTTTTTGTTTCATATAACTTGTTAAATACAAATTATAAACCTAATAATGGTCTGATGAAAACACATTAAATTACTAATGAGTTCAAGAGAATGGGTCATTATTTTTCTCTAATCATTTTTTCCCACAGTGGCCTATATTCGTTTTACCGTTGTAGTCAAATCATAATATTCTGCATTACATTAAGTTATGGTCACACACAGGTAATCAG